TTGCTCATCTGTTATTTGATTTCCTTCCAAATCTAATTGTTTCAAAGTCAAATGTGATTTTAACAGATTACATATTGTTTCGAGATTATTGATTTGACAATGCCACATACGTAAGTCAATTAATGTCTTGTTAATCATTAAACTGTTACAAAGTGTCTTAATTCCATTGTCTTTAATTGGATTACCACCCACATCTAATTGTATAAGTGTTTGATTTTTCTCTAACAAATCAGCTAAGTACTGACAACCGTCTTGATCAATTTTATTACAACATAAATTTAAATGATGTAATTGTATATTATCATATAGCAAATATTTTACCCCCAAATTACCAAGTGTATTAACACCTAAATGTAGAAAACGTAGATGATGATTCAATGACAACATTTCAGCTAGATATTGACCAGCGTCACAAGATAATTTTGTATTGTACAAATTCAATGTTATCAAATGTTTATTGTTATGCAATGTTTGAGCGATAAACAGACAACCTACATTACCCAATGGATTATAACTTAAATTAAGTTCAATAAGAGTTACATTCGTTCGTAATATTTCAGCAATAACTTTAACTTTTTCTCTTGTTAAATTTGTTTTAGACAAATTTAGAATTGTTATTTTTTGTGTTAATCGTTCATTTAGAGTATGTTTTAAATCATCAATACGCAATCTTTTACCAGATAATTCAAGGATATGATCTGAACATCCATGTAATACTTTTGACATTTTTATTATTCGACATGCAGTATTCTTGAGATTTTTTCGTGATTTCTTTGTTGATTTTCCTCGTTGTATTTTTTTAACTCCTAATGGTAATGGTTCTTCAGGTGCTTCTACTGTCGTAACAACTGACACAGATGACATGATTTCAGTTGAGGATGGTGGTATTTCTCGAATATAAATTGTGTTTAAGTCGTCTAGTGAACGTATTTTTCCAACAACTTGAAAATGAAATCCTGGCATCAATATGACTTCGTCATCGTCCGATAATGGAACTTGTTTTCCACTATAACAATCAATTTTAAATATAGTACGTACTCCTTGTTTACCTAAAAATGTAGGTAATTTCATTTGATCAAGCGATCGTAAACATGAATTAAAAGTCCACCATGTATATATACCATCATCTTTATACTCATCGGATAAATCACATAAGCGTACACCACGATAGACTATACAATGATGTCCTATTGATGGTAGTTTACTAAGAGCTGTTAATAATAACTTTAAATATGGATGCCATAGTTGAAGTTCTTCTGGAAATCCACGACGAATTGTTTCATTGAGAAGATAATAAATGCATTTTGTAGGTGGTGATTCTTCCCAAATGTATAGATGAATGGCTGTTAATTCATCTAGTGTTAGATCATCAGTATCATCGGCAGTCAATTTTTGTTTAATGATATAGACTTTTGTTGCAATATCATCAATTAAATAGGCTAACGATTTAATAGCTTCTTCTATTAGTAATAATGGTGAATTCAGAATAATAGACCAATATTGTTTAACATCATTTGCAGCATATGGAATATCAAAGTAACGTAAATTATTTGTATCTTCATCATCTTCAGTATCAAACAATGCATTTGCTGTTGCCATTTTTCTTTTACAAAAAGAATAATTGTAAAAAAAAAAAAAAAAAAGAAATATAACGTAACTCACTTGAAAAATATGACTATCATTATTAGGAAAAATACGGATTTCTCGATCGACATTGTTATATAAAGTAATAAATCATGCAATATTGTTATTATTTCTATTCTATTATATCATACATCTAAATTTATATTATAACAAGTACACATTATTCTTGCATAAAATAACCTGAAAGGAATTTGTTCAAAAGCAAAATAATTATAGTTACCTGACTAATTATGATCACGACGTTTATCATGCAATCTTGCGCACAACTATATCTCATTAAAAAAAAAGAATTTTTTAATTTGCGTTTATTCAATATAGTCTTGCAATAATAAATGCTTTTACCAATGCAGTATTTAGCGAACAAATCTGTTTATTAATTGTGACAGCGTATTTTGCTGCAATGAAGTTGCATTATTTTATAAACTTAACAAGACAATCACTTTTTACAGTGAAAACTTAATATTCTTTTCGTTTCTTATGATTATTAGAAAGTGATAGTACTCTAAAGGAGTTTAGAAGTAGTTCGATAATTATCAATTCTTCCATTTTGCTTGTTTATTGAATGATGAAAACGCTTGATAATAAATAATAAATGAAATTAACACGATTTTTATCATTTTATTTGATTTTCAGAGACATTTTGTTACATGCTTTTGACATCATCAGTCAAAATATAAGTTATATAGAATTAATAATTATTCAAAAAGCGTTCAAAGTATAACTTTTTCGGAATATATTCATTTTCGTTTTTTTTTCAAAGTAAACATGTCCATACTTACTTTCAAATTAGAACACAAGTATCTCTTTGTTCGTTTATTCAAGCCACTATATTGTAATGAAAATGATAAGAAAAAAGTTGTGTATCAATATGATTGTCAAAAATTTAAGATTAATCATGTCAGGTAAAAAGCTTGTTGAGTAGAAGAATGCGAAACTGAACATCGAAAAGTATTTAAGCGAAATGGATAATCTAAAATAGCTGATTGCTGTTTGAACTATAAACACAAGAATAATCAGAACTATAACACTCTTGCAGTGGAATTCAATAATGTGAAACGTACAATAAAAGAGGCTTGGTTAATGGACATGTTTAATCCAAAAAAAGATTACTATATTGTCAAAAACTTTTATCTTGAATGTTTTTTGAACAATGGTCATATGGGTACATTTTCAAAGGGGAAAAACAGATTTAGAAAGCTTTAAAATGGAATAAAATGCTTTATTTTACTTCATATTTTGGCTTTAATGCATGTTTCTTTTATTTTTATTTTTTTGATGATTTCAAATGCATTTCATGAAATATCACCAGAAAAAAACCAAGCAAAATATTAATTAATCTGTTACTCATTATAAACTTCTACTTCGGCGATAAAGATGAGCCATTAAGGAGCTTCATTCATGTTGAGAAGCATCGATATCATAAGATGTGGCTCTTTCTGCAACAGCTGAATATCTCTGCAAGTCGAGCTTGATTAAAAAATGGTGAAGATGTATGTGCTAATATATCAGCGATCATAATATCTCTTCATTGATTTATCTTGATTCTATTCCTAAAAGTGAATTAAATTCTCATTCATATCATACAATTGTTCGTCTTTGTATTAAGTTTAACTTTTTATCGATATTCTGGAATTGGTTTTTCTTGGTACTGGTTTTGTTTGTCCAAGTAAACGTCGAAATACTAGTGACATATTAATTCATATAAAATAATTGAATAAATAAAATGTTTTTTTTTTTGTGAACTTCTATTTAAGTGACGCTAATATATCTCTTCTCGAATGTACAACTGGTCAAATTCGTCACTTTTATAGTGATCAATCTGATAAAATTCTTTCTCGTATTCGTTTTGTTTATATATCTCATATGTATGCTGATCATCTCGATGATTTATATTGTTTAATCCAACAGCATTGACATGTTTATGAAAATCTTGGACGTAAATATGAAAAAATAACCTTACTTTATCCAAATAAATATGTTGATGTTGGTCGAAAACAAAAGGGTGTGGGTGTGGATGTCTACGGCTGTGGGGTGCAGACCTTTTTTAACATCCACACTCGCACACACCCACACCCTTGACATGAAAACATATATTGTTGCCTATTTTCTCTTCTAATTTTTTTTTCTGATTTTGTAACTGAGCAGTTAATATTTTTGTGGTATTTAGTAGTTTTCATGTTACAAAGGAGCGGAAAATGCTGATTTAAAAAAGAACGCATCAATAAACTCTACACAACATTTCTCTATCTTTTAACATCAGAATCAAACTCTTTAGAGGAGCCTAAACTTGATAAAACTACATATGAAAAGCCGGCAATTTCCTCTGCCGTACTCGTTAAATATAACGATTTTTCTTCAATCAAAAAAAAATTTTTTCTACATTTTCGACATTTTTATATCATCAACACGTTTATCTTTCGATCATTTTACATTTCGACATTTTGTTTTTCGAAGTTTCTACTTCCACATTTTTTTCTTTCGACTTTTTATTTTCGATATTTTTTTTTGTGAAAATTTTCGGCATTTTTATCGTTCCACATTTTTTTGTCGATCAAATTTAGGATAATCACTCCTTTATCATTTGGCAAAAAATGAGTTCTATCGATTGTGACGGAGTGGAGATATTCGATTTCCTTTTTGGTAAATGGCTTTTGCGACACCCTGTAGCATATAGAAAATGGCATCTTACTCACGTAAAAGAAATGGTAGATTACAGCAAAGTAAAAGACTTCAAATTCTGAGATTTTGTATATAACTCTAAATATGTCAAAGCATTATAACAGAATATTTGAACTCAAAGTGAGGCTTGTAGAAGAACGGGACGAACAAACTTTTGTAGTATCCTACGTAGTAATGAGCTTATGATGACTATGTTTCTTTTTTAGTTTTCTACTATATTATGTAAAAATATTCTTGATTTATTTATCGGCCTAAAGTTTCCTATAGATATCACTATGCGAAGTGCATTTGCCAATAATTGCAAGAAAGAAACGTCTTTTAATTCCACTAACAGTATACCAATAGAGGTTTTACTGTGTGCATATTTTTTGTTTTCTTTCTTCCTTTTCTTCTATTCTCTTCTTCCTCATACTGTGACTTCAATCCACGTGTTTCTTTTTTTTATTTCTACCTTTCACTCCCTCTCTCATCCCCTCCTTTTTTCTTTATTATTTGTTATACGAACTACGATGTTAAATATTGACATAGAGCTACACTTTCATCGATGAGTCATATATGGTGCACTTAAAAAACAAGATTATTCTCAAATTTTTGTGAAAGTTAAAACTTGGACGAATTAACTTCGTTAGCAACTAGTGATATATAAATTGAATTAAAATTTCAGATTTGATTAATTCATGACAAAATTTGAACATCTTCCAAATGAACTTGTACTGGATATATTTACATATCTTGATTCATATGATTTATTTGTTTCATTATTTAATCTTAATATACGTTTAAATACTCTTATTTATGCTCAACCACTTAGTATTAATTTAGGTAATTCATTATCAAAATATTTACTTGATCGTTATTATCAATCAGTGTTATCTCCTGCTCGTAATCAAATTCATACTTTAAAGTTATCTGATACGTATGAACGAATGAGTAATTTTCTTAAGAATGATAATCAAATACAAATCGATTTTGAAACAAGAAAATTTATTCTTTCTCAAGTGAAATCCTTAATTTTATGTAATCCAAAGACAACAAGTCTTAATCGAGTTTTAAAATATGTAAGCAATATAGAACATATATGTATATCAATAGGGCAACAAACTCAAAGTACGTCGAATTACCAAGGATTGTTTAAATCTCTTTTTAAAATGAAATCACTTAAACGATTATGCCTAGATTTATATGATGCTCTTATAATTGATGATGATATAGGTAATTTGTTTTTCTTTAATTTAAGGAAAAAAATTATTTTTATCAAAATAAATTTTACTTTTCCAACATTATTCTAGATAGTTGGATTTTAAGAAACGAAACTAAAGAATTTTGTGAAACACAATTTAAAATAAGTGGTGAATTTTATAGTGAAAAATCTGAGTCATCTCTTACGCAGGGTGGATCTCGATTACCAAACAGGAACTGCTTGTTATGCCCAGATTCAAGAGTACCGTGAAGAAACAGCGTACACTGATCATAGTAAAGGAAGAAAACATCTTGAGCTCGTCGACAGTGAAGAAAGTTATTTCAAATTTTCTGTCGTAGAACTGAAAAGATTGGTTCTGTTCACGTCTATAACTAGCATCCATAAGACAGGACTGGAATCAGTGCTAGCACCAACTCTAGTTAGATGTGCTTAATTGCTATGCTAAGACGGTTATTACTTTCTATGAGGAGAGAAGAATACATGTTGTAGTATCGAACTTTCGTACCATTTATATATATACCATAACTAAAGGTGTGTGTGGAGTAAAGATTTTCTAGTTTCGATCTTAGTAACTTCATGCACTGTGGTTTCAGTCACAGTCTTAGTAAATTATATTTACTTACGATCTGACCCGAGTACTTTTAAGTTTTCCATTACTGACTCTAACTTTAGTTTCGATTTCGAGAAAATTTATCTCACCACAGTTTACTCACATTGTGAAAATGGTCAGTTACCGACGATCTTTTTTACAATGATGCGAACAATATTACTACCCTATTTCAATCTACGAAAAATTATTTAAGTCAGATGAGAAAGCAAGATTTTCGTCAAAGTCACGATCTTCTGTATTCCTTAAGATGTTCCAGCAGAGTGTATCAATCGGGCCGATTGTTTTGAGCATGTCTATATGCTAGATTATTTAGTATGAACTGTCATGTAAAAAAATCTACTAGTTTACATAATAAATTAATAAAAAATAACTGCGGTACGAATGAAATTTATGTCAGAAGGCAAAAATCAAAAACTTTTGTATTTTAGACGCAAGTATATCACTGACAGATATGACATTGACAAGTTGCTATATACAAGATTTAGCTCAACTTCTTCGTCGAATGCCTAATATTCGAAAACTTCATATCACATGTTATAATCGACGAAATTCTCTTACTAATGATGATGATAATTTTGATTATTCTTTAATTGATGGACTTGGTGATTATGTACCATTCTTAACAGATTTAAAATTAAAGGTTATGTTTATATCATTTGAAAAAATTGAAGTTTTTCTTCAACAATTATCACAACTTACTAAATTAACATTTTCATCAATAACATTGGAAAAATATTCTAATGGATTAACTTGGGAACGAATTATTAATAATTATTTACCAAACTTAGAAAAATTCAGTTTATTTCTCGATGAAACATATATTTTTGAAGATACTCTTGTAGATTTAAATGAAATAATTCAATCATTTAATAGTAGTTTTTGGCATCGATGGCCGGTTGTTATTGAATATTATGTTGAAGCAACAGATAAGAAATGTCTGATATTATATACATTACCTATACAAGAAAGTAATTTACGTACATATTTGTATGGATTAGAAATTCGAAAGAATATTGATGAATATAATCAGAATATTGAAAAATCATATTATAATAAATTAAATCAACTTAATTTTATTTTTCACGAAAATCCTTCATCAAGAAATCTTTTACCAACACGTATTTATTCAAATCTTGAAACATTTACATTTTCATTTGAATTAATTAATCCAACATCATATGAAATAGATTCGATTTTAATTAATTTTCAACAAGTTTTTTCAACATCTGTACTTTCTAAGATTGAAAGAATTTATTTCTATGATCGAATTTATCCAACAAATTTTGGTAAATACAGAAAGAAAATTATTTTATTAAATTAAAAGTCTTTTTTAGTCTCGAAATTATTGAATTTATTACCAAATATTGTTGCACTTCACATACCAGCATCATCACTTCATCTCTCCACTACTCTACCTCTTCTTGTAACTTTAACGATCGATTTCAATTCAACAATTGAATGTTATTCAACAGATATTCTTCGTCAAGTTGCCACTCATTTTCCTGACATACATCTTCTTTATTTTGAATCAGTACATTCTCAAGATATTTATATTCTTCTTTCATATTGTCTTCGAAAATTTTCACATCTCTCATATTTGAACATAAAATTCGATCAAACTAATTCTCATATAGATCGACAAACATTTATTTTATGGTTTAATGATTACAAACAATTAAATGGATTGAGTGATAATGTACAAGTTGAATTTAATGATCATAACAATATTTTAGATATTTCGTGGTAATATTTTTATGACAAAAGATAACCAAAGAAAATTTATTGAATATCAAATAAAAATTAATGTTCGATAAAGTTTTATTCGAAATAAATTATTGAAACGTTGATCATATAAAAACAAAACTAAGTATTTAGAAAGGATTAATTGTCTCGCATGTTTATTAAGTAATCAGCATATTATATTCGGTGAAGATCTGACTCTTTTGCATCATGGCCGAATAAATTTGCCAAACAATAGCATCTTCCAAGATTTATTTTGGCGAGATTTCCCTATAAATCTCGTTATACATTTTTTTATCAAACGAAAGGAATTAGAGTGAGAACTATGGCTCGCTTTTGCTACAGTTAAAATGTATTATATGCTATCAATAGATAGATTCGGTGTTTTAAATACATTCAAAAGAAAAGAATTCTAATACTCTCGTAGAAATAAAGGCAAAAGATCATAGAGCATTTTTTATGAAGATGTATGATATAGACATTCAAATTGAGTTTTTTTCATTATCAGTTGCTTGATAAGTTTCACTAATAAGAAATCAAAATCTTTGATGTCTTTCTTCAAGCAGATTGAAGAGTATATGATGTAAAGTATACGTTCTTCTGCATATAAACTAGAGCTCAACGTGGGATAAGATTGTTTCATCTCATGGGATGAACAACTATTTATTGATAAAGATTTTTTTATGCGGAGAAAAATTAGTTTTTCGTATAAATCACGTTCTTGTCTATTCTAGTAAGGTTAACGAAAAATGAAACTTTATTCTATTATATAAATGGTTACGTACTGTAGTTCTTATAACAATGTAAAATGGTTAATAAAAAATGAATAAACAAACAAAAGAAAACATTCAATCTCTCCCTAATTCAGTTAATTATATCATTTTTATTCAATTTATAGAAAATATAAAATTGATTTGATGATTTGTAATAAGTATTTCCATCCTTTTATTTAATTACACGCGTCAGATCATTGAAGTTATATTTTCGTTTGTGATTTTTAGCTTTTTCTTTTTTTTTTAATTTTTTGTATTTATACGGAGAATAGCATAGATTTTTCATTGAAACTATGAAAGACTGAATTTGACTTCGATAAAATTATGAAATACAAGGGGAAATTATAAATGTCTGATAGAATTAGTCAAACAGATATGTCAATGAGTTATGAATTTAGGTGTTAAAATGAAATTGTTTTTGACAGAGATTAAATGATTATAACAGATTCGATTCGAATTTTTTTCAAACAAATAAAAAGAATATTAAAATAGATCGATCGATTCTTTCTGAAAGATGTTGTCAACAAATAAAATTCAAAGAAATAGATATAAGATTACAATCAAATTATTTCGAATGAATACTGAGAAGTTCGTTGAAACGAAAATTGAGATCGTAAAGCACATGTCATCAATATAGTCAGAGAATTCAAATAATATTTCATTTTATAAAGATTTCATTCCATCTGTCAATGCACAGAATGAAGACCAATAGATGCTTTTACCTATAATCATCACTCATTCTCAATTGTAGGCATTGATATTAAAAAGGTTTTTTTTTGAAAACTCAATATATATCCAAAAGGTGATTCAAAAATATATGAAACAAATGTAACATCAAATTTATTTTCTGCATAAAAGAGAAAACAGATAATGAACAAGAAGATATACATTGAGTACATGGAAAAAATGTTATATCAAATATCGATTTATTGTTTTTTCATACAAATCTGTTTTTAGTTCGTCAATTATAAAACTGCATATGAATTCATATTCGAAATGGCATAGGTGAACCATGAATGAGTACAAAAATTCACTCACACCATATATATATATAACTCCATGTCTTCGTGCTTCTATCACGGAAAACAAATTCAAACAAAGCCAAATTTTCTCAAACATGATAACAGTCAGGTTGCTATCATATATACAGTGTGCTACAAAAGTTTCGCCTCTATTCTAATGAATGTTTTATTTTATTTTGAAAGATAGAGTTCGGATGTAACATATCTATATACAAAGGTTGTAGAGACATTTGTTATGTATATAGCGTTCGTTTAGTTGTCTGCGTCTTCTTTGAGCAAAGTGGATACTTATCAACTATGTTTATGGACGAGAGGGAAACAGACGATTTTACAACTTTAAATAAAAATTTAGGTCTTAATAAAATGAATCGCAAACAAATGAAGTCTATTTGAAAATTTGTCTTCGTGTCTCATTTAGTTTTATGATCGGCAATAGAAGTCGACGAATCGGGAAGTTCTTCAAATAAGGATACCACTTTTTTTTTATTTTTCAAGACAACAAAAAATAAAATGGCTCCCTACTCTCAAGTACGTTGAATAATGATTTCAAATAACAAAAAATATCAAATTTAACACTTTTTTTTCAAAAAAATCAGCCAAAATAAGGCACATATATTATTCTATATCAATTGATGTAAGGTATCACATGACAATTTTTGAAATAGCCTTCTTTGCTTCTCAGTGCTTGATGTGTAGGCGACATGACAAATTATATAAACAACGTTGGTATTAGAAATCTCACGAGTGATATGGATTTCACTCAATCTGTTTGTCAAGCTATATTACTAAACCCTTTCTCGAAAGAGATAGTTTGGTAATTGATATGTAGCATGTAGCCGCTATCTCACCAGTGGAATTCTGTAATTCAACCAACCGGATTTTTCAACAGTTTTTCACCGATGACATCAAAAATTTCAATCTACGGATTCGATCGGTTGACAAAAAACTCAGTCGATTCCCACTCCCCCATAAACATCTTCATTTGACACCTGCGGTTATTAATGACAGAAAAACCACATTCTTTTATTATCATTTGCAAGCAGAAAAACAAGGAAAAAAAGCAAATCAGATATTCAACCAGAAATTAAAGTTCTCCATTCCATCATCTTCGAAATCAAAGCTCACGATTTTGTTCGTTGTTTATTCCGCTCAATCATTTCATTCAAATGAATTTCAAGGTTGCTTTTGATTTGATTGTTGCAGAGAATCAGTGTAGTGAGT